ACGGTTTCCCCATTTTACAACCATGAACACAGATTAGATTACCTTTGTTATTCATGCATTTGGTCCCTTGAACTGGTAGCCATCCATATTCTATTAGCTAAAATAATGAGGAGTGGACCATACTGGTAAATGGATTTTTCTTTACTTTCCCTATTTATGGTGCAGTGATAAATAGATCCATTTAACAGACTACTTTCACTTGCTACCCCTAAGCTTTGATAAAATGGATTTTACAATACTGGCACAAATAAAATAATAGAGTTCCTAACATAGCAGAATTCCTACTATTGATCCAATTGGTTTGTTTTTCATCTTCATTTATAATAAAGATTTGCATGGTAACAGAAGCAATGGTAGTGCTGGTATTGGAAACAAATTTGTAAACACCAGCATATATATCCTTGAAAATCTTCTGGAGTTTTTTCCAGGCAGTTAGGCTAATAGTCAAAGTATTGGTAGCTGCATCCTTTCCATTTATTATGTCCATAGTCTGACAATTATTGCTTAATGGTCCTAGCCTGGACACTTTATTACTAGTGATTTCTAAGTTGATAGAATCCAATGTTCCTGTGCCCAATCCAACTGTTCTTAATGCCGTGGAAAGATCTCTAACTATGCAGGTTTTAAAGTTTGCAGTCTGGATGTAGTGTGTGCAAGGTAAACGTTATCCAAACCACTCATTACTTCAGCTGTGGTCATAATAAATTTCCACCCTTCAGAGGTACATGCCAAAGGACTTCCCCTGCCCTAAGGTTTGCTTGTCGTTGATTTTAGGCAAGAGAATCCTTTTTTTTAATGATCAAATGCACTGGTTATCACTATATTATCTGCTTGCTTCTTAGTAATTAAACAACCTCACCTTCTGGCATGCTGATGCAAGTCACATGCTCCAGTATGTCCAAATCATTCATGCAGCCATTCAGCAAAGCAGAAAAATGCCTTGAGTCCTGAATGGTTAGGCAAATACCATCATTTCCTGGTGTGCTGCTACATGCCCTATAGTAACAAGATGAGAGTTGTCAATATCTTATATTTGATCTCAATATTTGCTTTTCTATCTATGAGATATATGGGGAATTTGCCCAATTTTCTAGCTATTGTATAGCATTATGCCATACAGCATAGGAATCAGTATATATGGCCTGTGCTCTATTTCTAAGAGCTAATACCATGGCACAGAGCTCTGCTAATTGACCATAACTTCTTATTTGCTCAATTATTACAGGTTCTTTGGCTACAAATACAGTAGCAGCCATTCCTTGCTGTTTACACTGTATTTTTTGAGTGCTCCTGTCAGTAAATCAGAGACCATCAGGTTGACGGGTTGAATTCGGGCATCCTGGCTAGAAGAACAAGGAGGCTTCATGTACTCAATGGGCATTTCTATATGTGCCACAACTTCAGTAATTTTACTCTCCTTAGTTAAGCCAGATACAATTTCATGATGACACAGTACTCACCTTTGACAGTGGCCTTACATGCTACACCTAAAGGTGCTGGTTTACCAGCAAGCATGGGTTTAAAGTGTTACTGGCAATGGTATATGCTCCTTTCCTAGGTCAAGAGTTCAGTCACTGCCTGTCCTTTGTAAATTGCTGACATCATATTATCAAAAGTGGAATGATCGCCACCAGATAAACACATATACTGCAGAACAGTGACCTCCTGTGGTAACTTTAATGTTTCTTGTTATTTAGACAATACCACATGGACAATAGTTGGACTGTTCAAAACATGCATTAAGGGAGTAAATGTATGTAGCGGAGTTGCTCTACCTGCACCTGGTACATATCATAGAATTGTAGAACACCAGGTTGGAAGGCACCCCAAAGATCATCTTCTTGGAGGACAAGTCTTACAAGAACCAGTGCAAGTGCAGCGACCTGAACTGAGCTGGCTTTGGTGCCAAGTAACTCCACACAAAACACCACATCCCTTGTCCTGAGTGACCACCATAATGGAGCCCCAAGTCACGGACTACATGAACTCAGTGGACGTTTTGTATACATTTAAGAGCACTTTAAGGACATTTTACAGGTGCGTTCCATAGACAAAGGAATGCTATCTTTGTACTATATCAAAGGATGAGGAGTGGTGGTTAGTGAGTGGTGATGGTTAATAACTGGACAGTGTGGGACCTGAGCATGATGTAAACAGTATGGGATAAAGGGTGGAGAATGTGCTGGTTTAGGCTGGGATAGAGTTAATTTTCTTCGTAGTAGCTAGTAATCCAGTGTTCTGGATTTGTGCTGAAAACAGTGTTGATAACACGGAGATGTTTTAGTTATTGCTGAGCAATGCTTACACACAGCCAAGACCTTTTCTGCTCTTCTAGGCTAGGGGTGCACAAGGAGTCAGGAGGAGCCACAGCTGGGACAGCTGACCCCAACTGACCAAAGGGATATTCCATACCATATGATGTCTATTGAGAGGAAAGCAGCTTACCTGATGTGTAAAAAATGCATACTGGTAACTGGTGCCAGCAAGGTCTTGCAACCTGTAACATAATGTACAGGACTGGATATTTTTAACTGGGGTTGAAGAATTCAAATTGGAGTTTTATACTGAACTTCCACAATGATAGGTGTCAGTTTCTTCTCCAAAGTAACAACTGATAGGACAAGAGGCCTCAGGCTGTGCCAAGGAAGGTTTAGATTGGATATTAGGAACAATTTCTTCACAGAGAGGCATTGGAACAGGCTGCCCAAGGAATTGGTAGAATCTCTGTCCCTGGAAGCGTTCACAAACTGTGTAGATGAGGCCCTCAGTGACATGGTTTAGTGGTGGCTTTGGCAGTCTTGGGGTAAAGGTTGGGCTTGATGATCTCAAAGGTCTTTTCCAACCAAGCTGATTCTATGATTCTGTGTCATGTGCAGCATATAAAGCTAGGGGAAGAAGGAAGGAAGGACATTCAGAGTGATGGTGTTTGTCTTTCCAAATAACCATTACACATGATGGAGCCCTGCTTTCTCAGGGATGGCTGAACCCCTGCCTGCCAATGGTAAATGGTGAATAATTTTGCTTTGCTCATATAAGTGGCTCTTGTTTTACCTATTAAACTGTTATCTCAATCCATGAGTTCTCTCACCTTTCTGATTCTCCCCCTCATCCCACTGAGGAGGAGTGAGCAAGTGGCTTTGCAGTGCTTAGCGGCCAGCTGGGGTTACACCAGGCAACTGCCAAGAGAGGAAACATCCGTGTCCTTCTAGTTTGGGTCAAAAGGAAAACCCAGACAGCTCAGGGTCATAACCCATACAGCAGAGCACAATACACAAATGTCCTAAGCTCTATAAATTACTAAGACCTAGCCAACTGCTTTGGACTCCCTCTACGGCACCGAAAATGGCCTTGTTCCTAATTTTGCAGAGACAAAAGGCCTGGTTCTGGCACTCATGAGAAGACCGAAGAGACGGCTGCTGCTTTCCACCACCTTCAGACGCTCTCAGGCCGCCCTTGCGCTCCTGCCCTGCACACCCACCCCAGCACTTGAAGACACACTGCACGCATGGGAAAAACAGAAGACCTCGACCCTCCCGTGAAAGCCGCTGCGGTGCGGGCGCCACGCTTCCCCTTGCTCGGGACACACCCCACCCTTCCGCCACCGCACTGGGACGCGCGGGCAGCTCGCAGCTGGCCCCCCGCGGGCGGAGCCGATGGGCAGGTGAGGCCCCACCTCTCCAGCAGGGAGTCTGCGGCTGTGAGGGATGGGAGTTGTCCGAGGCGGTGTTGCGTGTGGGTGGTGCTGCGTTAGGCTTCCCGCAGCGGGACAGCAGGCCCGGTGCCGCGCTGCCTCCCGTGTAGGCCTTCTACCTGCGGACAGGGTCGGGGAGCCGCGGTGGGCAAGTGGAGGAGCTGTCGGTGGCTGTTTCCGTTTCGCTGGGTCTTTCTTTCTCTGGCCTTTCTACCCCAGGGTCTCTCCGTGCCCCGCGGCAAGGAGAGGTGCGGCTTTCCGGCAGGCCCGTGACTGTAGGGTTGAAGCTAAAGGCGCGGTGTGGTGCAGCCACCAAGGGGGTTCTCGCAGAGCTCAACCCGGTTGTCTCCCGCCTGTGCCTGTGCTGGAGGTGCTAGTGCCTGGGTGCCAGGCTATCTCTAGCGCTTCAGACTGTTGCCGAAGCCAGGTTGGAAGAGAAGGAGCTTTTTCTGTGTCAGGTGAAGAGCTTGCTGTTTGGATGGGTGTTAGGAAGATCCTGTTGGGGAATGTAGAGCTAATTGCTGGCCTTTGCATAGCTCTGCAAAGCCCAGCAAAAGGAGAGTGCCATTGTTGCGGTTTCTTTGACAGCCAGTTCCTGCCTGACCGAGTTTCGGCAAGTACTGGTGGAGCTCCATGTATCTTTGCCATCCCAAAATCATTCCACCTAGTGTCCTCTTGCATGCTGTATGAGGGCATTTCCTCCTTTTGCAGGGCTCTTCTAGAAGATGTCAGGTGGGAAAAAACGCTCTGAAACACTCTGCCCTCTAGGTGAAGCCTAGTACTGCTCAGCCTGTTTGACTGGGGTTCCCGATCCCCCTTAGAGGAAGTTTTGATTTTGTTTCATAATCTTAAACTGTGGTGTGCAGTAGAGATTCAGGAGAGTGGCAACCCAGCAAATTGCAAAGGAGAGAGAGAGCCTTTGGGATAATTGGGCTGTGCAGTTTCTCATGGACCAGTTAATGAAGTGACAGCAAACATAGTCTAATGTTTTCCACTCCTGATACCAGGAAGAGTAAGTGCTTTGGGGAATTCTTAGACATGAGTTGCAGCATAGTTAACATTTATGTGTACCTAAGAGCTCTTTAATAGGCTGCCTGCCTTAGGGTAGTTTACTTACACCCACGAAATTGTATTTGATGCACTTGGAGTAACTTGGCAAGTGTCCTGTGACATAATTCCTTAGACTTTTTCTTCCTTGTCTGCCACTCCCTTTTCCGATTAATGAAGGTTTGTTTACATTTTCTTTTTTGCTCACTAGAAGTTGAGAAAGTAAGGTATCTAGAGGTTGGGTGCTGGTCGGATGTTTTTGGGGAGGTGGGGACTTAGTTTGCTTGTTTTATAAATAAAGACCTGCAAACAGGTACTGCCTTTGCTTTTGTTAATGTGTGAGGAGGAAATGGAAACAAAAGCTTAAGTGCTTCTTGCTGTCTGTGCCTCTTGCTGCTCTTGGTGTTCTTGGAAATAGTTTTCTTCATGAAGATGCATGATCCCCTGTATTAGAACACAGTATGTGAAATTTGAATGCCGTTTCAAAACTGAAACCGAAGTTCCCTTGTTGCATCTGATCCTCTAGATGTTGTGTTTACTATATTCCCCAGAATAACCAAGCCTGGTCTTCTGTCTCCAAGCTGAACAACACAGCATGTTGCTCAAGTTCCAGGTGGGCTCGATTTGTTATTGCCTGGAAGAGGGTTTTACCATAAGTGTTTTCTTTTCCATTATCATAGGACAGTAATACCACATGCCACTAACAGGACCAGAGAAGTCAGTAACCCTTAAGACCCCACTTCCTCCAACATCCCAGATTCCAGGTCTTGGTGATCTTGCAAATGCTCCACATGAAATGCCATCCAGGTGCCGCAGGGGATCAGAGACAGATTCAGCTTATGTCAGGCTGGCAAAGCAAGGAGGCCAATCTGGTGGGTGTCTGTCTTGCTCATTTTGTTTTCCTTTGTTTTCTTTGGCTTTGCTTGGGTGTGGTGGTGGGAAGTGCCTGTAGATACTACAGAAGAATCCTCTTGAATTTTGAAGTTAAATGAAAAGTTAATGAGCGATGTCACCTTGTCAAGCCATCCTTGTAGTCAGTTGTGTATAGGTACCTGTGTCAAAATGTGTAGTCTTGCACTGTATCTGATCTAAGCAGATGATGACAATTTAGCTGCATTTCAGTGAGGTCTGTACCATTTATGCTTGGGCTGTTTAAGTAGCAGTCTGGTGAAAATGATGTCACAAGAAAGCTTCATCAGAGAACTTGGTAGAGGTTTATAAAGTGTGGGGTTTTGTTTTGTTTTGTTTGTTTTTTGTTTTGTTTTGTTTTTTGTGATGACATTCAGTTTGTTACAGTGCTGTATATATTTGTTCTTGTATGAAGGTGATCTGTGGTTTTGTTATTTCCTTTATCTAAGAAGGAAGCTTGAGGAACTTGAGCATGCATGCTCTGAGCAAGATGACAAATCCATAAATGAGAATTAACAGAGCAGTAGAAACATTTCAAAGCATTTAGAGCAAGATAAAGCACAAGTGGAACATAATGCTGCAAGGTTCTGACTGTCCATTTTATGAAGGGAAACAAATGGTCCTTACTAAATAAATCAAGCACTTTTTCCTGATAAAACAGTAACCTGAAAACAAAGGTAATGCTTTTGCAACCAGATAGAAGTCAGAAAAGTAGCAGCTTTTGTCTTTTTCTCTCAAGACCTACTGAAGCACTACACTGCTGTGATAAGTAAATCCTGTCCAGCAGCATATGCTGCACCTGACTGGTACTTGCACTGCTCCAATCCCCCAGCGACCAATAAGCCACAGTAAGTCTGCTGAGACCTTACATAACTTCTTGGGTTCTTCACTTGGTAGTGTTTAAAATGCTGTTGTACTAAAGTAGAAGATATGTATCCCTTGTATAATAAACAGGTGTTAAATCTTTGCCTGCAGGAGCTATGTTTCCTTTCTACCAGATTATGTAATTCACAGAGAGTTTAAGGCTGATGAACATTGTGGTAACCATTGTGAGATAAGAGGCCCTTTCGATTTTGATACGAAAACTGTTTGGCAGCAGGATGCTGAGGACAAAGAAAAGGCAGAGAAAAAGAAGATATGATGGAGAGGCACTCTGTCACTTGCTTGGTTTGTAGAGCTTGTGAAGACACTTGTAGATGGGCCTGTTATAGAAGGGAAGCTGTAGTCCACCCAAGCTTCTGTGTTCCAGAGACAATCTTTATATTGCAGTTAATTGAGGAGAAAGCTGTGTTTCTCAAGTGCAGTAGGTATAGCATAAGAAACAGAAATGCAGTTTCCAGTCACATTATATAGTGCATATACTGAAGTGTGAAAGAAGGCCAGTAGTTAGTTTCCATCTCCTTATGCTTTATTTCCCCTGCAGTTCAGTCTTGGTGAAGAGAATTTTTGTTTAGTAATTTTCGGGGAAGAAGAAATGAGAAGGAGAAAGGAACAGAAGACTTTTCCAAAAAAGGAGTGTGCTTTAGTTTAAGATGCAAGAGAGTCTCTAAAGATACTGCAGTAGCTGTCTTTGAACAGAAGATGTATCCAAGACAAAATAAGTATAGCACAAGCTATGTCCAGAACAAACCTTTCTGTAGTGATCTTGGCATTTTGTCCAGGAAGCCTCTCTCCTGTCCTCCCTCTTTCATCCTCCACGCCCTTGCCTGTTTTAGAAGTTGAAACCTTATGGTTTTATTAATATTCTCTGTAATCTTGGTTGCCTAATTTACTGTAGGTCTTTGGAGTATCCATGGAAAGGTGTTTGATGTACTTGAAGAGAGGGAAGGATGTTGAATATTTTAGGAAAAAAGTTCTTAGCCTTTGCTGAGATGAGTAGTGCAAATTCAGAACGATGGCACGTGCAGATGGGAACGCCTCATTACTGAATAGGTTAGGGAATGTTTACTTAATCTGTGGAAAGAGGCAAACAAGCAATATATGCTTACGCTACAATTTGCCTGGTCCTTGTAGGTGAATCTTTTTTTCAATCAGAGGTACAAGGACTGAAAATGGAAACTTGGCTTGCCATGGGGTCTCTTGAAAGGATCTTCAGTACTCTAAAAGTCAAACTTTGGTAACAGTAAGAGTAATGCAAGTCCATGTGGTGACTGGTGAAGTGAGACTGAGATCCATTTCTGTTTGTGTGAAGTTTGATAGACAGTTTCGTTCAGTCATGTGAATGAAAGTTTCCATATGTTTTATTTAGCACCAAATATAAAGCAAATTTGTTGTATATTCAGCTCAATTTCAAAGTCTGCTGAGGTCCTGAAAGATAGTCTACACTGTTCTTTTGGAAGCTGAAGTTGAGTTTTTGTCTGAGGCGCTAAATCTATCAAATCTTTTTCTTTAGGACTACGTGCCTGACAAGGCAGATTCTGCGTCTCTAGCTTTAGCTTTACCTCCATACCACCATCACTGGAATGGTTATCCTTCATAGTACCTTTCTTGTACCCTGAAAAGTGCCTTGTATATCTTGAAACTTTGCATGATGCTTTTTTCACAGCTGCTTCTTGTATCTCCTCTTACAGGAGGTTTCTATCCTGTGCTTACAGACTACCTTTCTGAAGAGTCTTTAAGTGAGACAATGGATCTAGCCCTGCCAAATGGTCTTGACTTTAGTTTTCTCAGTGTACATCTTGCATGTTGAAATGTAAGAGTTATATTCCAAAACACCACAAGCAAATTTCTAAGCAATATTCAGTTCCTTTGTTTGACTGTGTGATTATATTGCAGCAGCAAACTACTTCAACTACTGAGACTGAACATACTGAAAATATTTTTCAGTCCAGTCTGACTAAGCAGTTGCTCAGAAGACACTCATGATGGAGTCATGGAGATAAATGCCTTAGGGTGCCCTTAGGCACAAGTGCAAAAACATTCTGACTTCTAAGGGTACCTCTTCAACTCCGTTTGGAAAACATTGTTTCCCAGGTGGGCCCTTTCTCTAGAACATTAAGCCTTTATGCCACTTTGTTTTGAAGTATTGGAATCTCCACTGTTCATCATATTATGATTGTCAATGTGTAGAGGACTGGAGATCAGGAGGACCATTACATGGTTCTCTGTGCCTTGGGATGGATCCTGTAGTTCCTCCTTAATGCCTTAATCACAGGGATAATTCTTATTCTTCTGGGAATTTTGCAGCAAAATGCTGCGAAGATGTGTTAGTGCATGAAGGATTTAGCTTCTATGCTCATGGCAACATAATGGTCTATGAGCCTGTCCTGGGTTCAGCAGTAGCAGTCATTTTTCTCCTTCTTGGTAGCTGGTGCAGTGCAGTGTTTTGACTTTCAGCTGGGGAACAGAGCTGATAACAATGATGTTTTGGTTTGGCCAAGGACTTTGTGAGCCTCATGCTCTGCCAGGGAGGAGGGGAAGCCGGGAGGAAGCAGAGACAGGATACCTGACCCAAGCTAGCCGAAGAGGTATTCCATACCACAGCACGTCATGCCCAGGATGTAACTGGGAGTTAGCCGGAAGGGCTGGTAGACTGTGGGGTTGGAGGAGGTATGGGTTGGTGCTTGGTCAGGCTGGGGGTGCGAGTTATCGGTCGGCTGGTGGTGAGGTGTTGTATTCTTTTCCCTTGTTATTTCCTTTATCATTGTTGTTGGTAGTAGCAGTAGTGATTTGTGTTATACCTTAGTTACTAAACTGTTCTTATCTCAACCTGTGGGAGTTGCATTCTTTTCGATTCTCCTCTCCATCCCTCCAGGAGTAGGGGGAGGGAAAGAAGGAGGGGAGTGAGTGAACAAGTTACCTGACTTGGTTTAAACCACGACAGAGCCTAAGTATGCGTATTTTGCTTATGCATCATATGGACCAGCTGGGTTGGATTGAAAATGCTATGACTCTTAAGAAAGAGGCAGCCATGTGTAAGAGTGAGAGATCTGTTGCAAGGTTGTGTCATGGTTAGCATCAGCATTAGGCAATCTTCCTGCATCATCAGCAAGATTATTACTTCATTTCTGAAGAAATCCCTTTTAGTCACTTGCCTGAAATGTGTGTGTGTGTGTATATATATACGCATACATCCATCCCTATGTATGTGCTGTAGTAAAAGGATTACTTGTTTGAGGTCAGGATTTGGAAGAGAGAGAATTGGAAGGTAATCAAATTTTCCCTTGATTGCAGGGTAGCCAGGGCTTCATCCAGGGGCTTTTAGCTTTCCATGCTGGCAGTAGGTATCTGTTGTTCTTAATATACTAGTGAGGCACAATACTTATCACATTTCATGTTTCTTGAATCTGAGACTAATAATTGTGTATGTATAATAAATTTAGGTAGTAATTTTTAGGGTATGTTGTTGCTATCTCTTGACAAAGAGAGAAATCACTTTAAACTGAGAGCATGCAAAAGATGTCCTACATAGTTTGCTTTATCTGGGTAAGTTGTCCTCTGTAAAATAGAAGATTGTCAAAGTGAAAATGCCTCCCCAGCTATAATCGTTGGGGTGTGGTGGGACAAGGGTCTGCTTTTAATGCTGAATTTGTAAACAAAGCAAAGTAACAAACAGCACCTGGCAGATTGCAGGTGCCCTCCAAAGCCAAATTCTGATCTGTTTCCTCGCTCCTTTTCTTACTCCTCAACTCATTTGAACAGTAGGGAATGTTTTGATACCTGCAGTTTATGCTAGTCTGTCTCATCTAATACCAAGAAAAGAAACAGAACATGTTAAACAATATGACAGACTTGGTAGCAGCCTTCAGATGTTTTCTCATTGCCTTTTTTTATCTTTTTTTTTTTTGTTTCCCTTCTGAGTTTGGCCTTTGTCTATCTCTAGTCATTCTCTCTAGGTTTTCCCCCTCTTCCTACCTTTTAATTAACTTTTTAATTATTAGACTTCTTTTTCTAGTGCTTTGCTTCAATGCCAAGAGGAGTCTCAACTTTCCATCTGCCATTTGTATCTTGCCTGTCAGTTTTTCCATGTTGCCCTGTGTGCCATCATGCCTTCAATATGTGACAAAGGTGACCGAGTTTGGTGATTTCTACTTGTCTTATTAAATTGCTTTTGTCAGTTGAAACTGTTAAGTAGCTGGGCTGGATCTAAAACTTCCATGGTATGTCAGATCTGAAATGGTGCATTTTAATGGTAGATGGAAGACAGTACTATAATTTTTTGCACAATAGGATACGATTTGTGAAATGTAAAGCACGAGTAAGCTGCTTCAGCAGAGTGTAGTGTTGGTGGATTTGAAAAGCAGTTCTGAATAACTAAAGCATATTTTAATCTCTAGGTTGGACAACAAACTCTACTCTTCCTCCAACATCACTGCTTCCAGCATCACTGCATGCTCTTGCTGGTATCATCTCTTCTTCTTTGACAAATGTCCATTTTTTTCATCTTTTTAAGCTTCAGCATAGTCAGCCTGAAATCTAGTAGCCCATCCACTTATTCTTTACCAGATTCTGAAATTTTTCTTTTGGTGAAACTTTGATTCTATTGAAGTCTGTAGGGATTTCAGCACTGACTTAACACGTTGGTTTGCATTGGTGTCCTGTTTCAGAATTAGTAGAACTGTCTGTCTTAGGCTTCACTTTCTTTCAGAAAATAATAAAATTTATACTCTCTGAACATCCAGGTCTGCTTCTTTTAGTGGCTTGTTAACTAGCTCACTGATCAGATGTATTCAAATACCATTATACTTCTCTTTGCTCTTTCTTTTTAAATGTGCACAGGCTCCTTGAGCAGTCTGTGGTGTGTTTACATCTACTTTGGAATCTTCTCATGGATGTTTTCATGGGAGTTGTTTTGTAGTGTCTGATAATGGTGCATCTAATTTTTGCGTTTTGTTCATAATTTTTTGCTCTGTTAACTGTATCACAGTAGGTATTTCCACATAGGAGGAAAGTATCCTTAATGTACTTATCCTTAATGTACTTTTCAGTCTACAGAGCAATACATTTCACTTCCAGTTTCTCTGTCCTGATTTTTTTAAAGTAACTTGCAAGTAATAATTCTAATCTGATTGGGATGTTTTCGTACACAGCATACAGAGAAAGGAGCCAAGATAAGAGGCTGCGATAGTTTGAATTGGAAGTTTAACTTAGGGTAGAGGTGTACTGTGGGGGAAAAGCTTGTGGAGAGCACATTTTGCTTTATTGACATAGTGAAAAAACAGCTGATCTCATCTAGAATGACTGACTAAGGTTCTGCTTTATCTTTTGCTATTTCTTTATGATCCTCTACTCTTACTTATGGAAATAATATAGGTAAGATAATGAAGTTTGACAAGACTTGGGGCCTTTAATATATTCTTCACTTTTGAAGGTTATACTATCATACAATCTTCTTGGTTATTTTTATCATAACTCCTTTAATTAAGATTTCTCTAACACAGGTAAAGCTCCCAGCTATAAACCCTAAATATCCAAGCAGAATGCCAAATGTTTCTACGAACAAGGAATTTAGTGGGGAAAAATAAACTTTCCTTACCACCCATGTAAGTAGTATGCTCATGAAATTTATTAAATTCCTAAGCAAGTACTATTACTATTTGTGAAAGTGCAGATTAGTGGCTACGTTTATGGGCTTCATGGATCCTTTACTGCTACTAAACTTGCTATTATCTGTGGTATTTTTGTTGTTTGTAAAACTATTTTAGTAATAGCACTTAAAGTCATACAGGAAAGCTATTCAGTATAACTTTGCTTTAGGAAAACTAAGCATAGAGTTGCATGTCTTCATGTAGCATGCTTTTATTGTATTCTAAATTGTCTTGGTTTTGTCCTCAATGCCAGTGTACAGATTCAAATAATAATGTATATTGTTAGTTCTGTAAACATAGGTTACAAAGACACAAGTGAGGCTACTATTATTTTAAGAAAACACAAACTGTAGCCTGTGTAAGATCAGTCACAGCAAAACTACTGCAATGAACATGGAGAATAAGTATTTTAAGGAAATTATTATATCACCCATGATGTGATGTAGTATCATCAGCTTTGTGCAAAACTGAATTGTTTCTGTGTACTTTGTCTTAAAAATTTATTGTGCAGTCATCAGTAATCCCAGTATGTTTTAGAAATACATTAATGATGCAGAATAAATTAGTAAACTGCCTAATGAGCAAATCTGTAACAAAATTGCATCTTTGTGCAGCACAGAATGAGTATTGTCAGCCTTTTTTGCTTACACATTCTTGTGTGATTTTCATTTTTCACTTTTTTTCCTCTTAAGACCAGAATAGTGGTCTTAATTCTGATAATCTTCAATTCTTAGATTATTACATGTGGAATATATGTTTAGTTATTTAGAAATAAATTATAAGGATAATTCCCTTTCTGTGCAAAATAAAATTTTACCATCTAATCCCCATTTTTGTTTACTTATACCATTGTTTTCCTTAACATATCTGGATTTACAGGCCTGCTAAGAAGAAAAAACGAAGCAGTAAACTTTAGCAAATTAATTAGCAATGGTTATGGGACTGACTGGCTTCAGCAGTGTACAGGAAGAAACAAAAACATTAAAGAAACATCAGAAAATAGTGATCAGTCCAAAGGTATCATTTTTGAAAGCTGTTTCTTTTCAAGCGAGTTGGGATCTCAAGGTAACAGCAGAGGGCAGCCTGAATCATTTCTCTTTGGATACGGTGAGACTTAACTGAATTGCTCTGCTTAGCTTACAGTTCCCTATGAGCAGCTAAAGAAAAGTGTGCTCCTGTTTGTAGTCAGCGAAGGCAGGGATTTAATGGATTTTTTCCATCTTTACAATTCCAGAAGTATGCTCGGTTCTAATCCAGGCGCTTCTGTGTTTTTGTGAAATGTTGCAAAGGCACAGCTGTCCTTCTGCCTAAATTTAAGCAAAATAAAATATTTGTTGCCTATTTGTTGTGAATTGTCTGTGGCCACTAATATTTTTCTGAAAACTGCTTTGGCAAATGTCATCGATACTGATGTTTAAGAAATAGAGAACTGTTTGTAAGACTTTGTCAAAACAGATATATGCGCATTGTAAAGACAGCGGCATTGTAACAGTTTTATTAGAGAAAAAACATTATTTGATGTTTACCTACGATTTCAGGCCTTTCTTTGTCATGCATAATTGCAATAGCTATGAAAGACATCATTTGAAAATACTTAGGAAGAAAGGTTAAAGGGTGGAAAATTCCCCTTCCTTATGTCAAAGACCTTTTGCTCAGGCTTTTTACAATGGCTTGGTAACCATGGAGGGTATGTCAGTTTCCTATAGCAACCTTTTAAAATGCTGTTGAACACAGAGGTTGCAAGTTCCAGAATTTCGTTTATTTTTTTATTTGTATCACTGAATGCTTTTGTATACACTGGGGATTGCCATGACTCCCTTGATCTTGGTATATCAATGTGTGAAAGGCTTAGAGGACAGTTAATTTACTTTCTGTGACACCTTAGCACTTTCTGAATTCATCATGTTTTCCTTACATCAGTACAGGAACAGTAACTGTGTTTGTGTGTGTCTGTGTGTGCTGAATCTTTTCTTCCAGGTGAGTATCAGAAGAAATCAGGCAAACAAAACTAGAAGTTGTGTGTTATTGTTCAGAAATAAAACTGGTATAAAAGTAGGGATGAAACCAGATTTCAGTTTGGACCTGAAAGAGGGTGCATGACTTTGAAGAGTGACTTCTTGGGTTAGCTTAAATATCCAAACTCTGGTCATGCAGAGATGCTGCCTTAGGAGATGCAATGACCTAACAATTGAGCTGTGGAGCCTAAAAAAGCTCTTCCTTAGCATGAAAGAACCTTCATTATTCTTTTGTTTTCGGATGCTATTGAACTTTCTTGTGCACTGACATTTTTCTTTTGCATTACTGTAACATGAAAGGATTTTTCATTTTTTGAAATCTCAAATTCATTCATTTAGTGATAATCAATTTCTTTAATGTGAAATGTGCCTTTGGATTTGAAGGAAGCTGGAGCTTTTTCGGAGTAATCATATTGGTTTGGTTATACCACCTATGCATAGAGACCAAAATGATGGGTATACTCAAAAGACTGCTGTAAAGCCAGTATGCTGCATAGTTTGATGTATCTTCAAAAAGAAGATGTATCTATATATCTTATTTTTGAAATGCTTTTCTTTTACAGATTCTTAGATAATACCTCCTGCTTTGCTTGCATTGCCCTCCTTTGTCGATCATAGCTACATTCCGATTGAGATTCTGTATCTCGATATAAAAGGAGTTTTTTGGTTTTTAAATGTTCTTAACAGTGTGGTTTCATCCAGGCACATGCTTTGATTCAGTTTTGACCTTTTCGTTCTTTCAGGTATGTGCTGAAGGTAGTGCTTATATTTTCCCACTTAGGTAATTTTGTCTGCTCATCCAAAGCAATTGGCAGCATGAGCACCTTGCAGCTCCCTTTTGAGATGGAGCTTTCTTGGTTATGTCTTGCACAGGATAAGTCCAGGACATCAGACAGGAAATGCATCCCCTTCGGTATGTAAATCTGTAACCCATGTATGCTGGCTTACAGATTTACATCATATGTGCAAACCTTGTAGGTAGCTTCTCTATCTTACTAGCTAAAATATAAAAGTACTGGGATTTGTATGCCTTTTGATGTGAGAGAAAAACTGAAAATTATAATTGACCTTTTTATTGCAGTTGAAGTTATCCAAAGAACTTTAATTTTTATTTAATTTTTTTTTATTGCAGATTCAGAGCCATCAGAGTCTGAATAAGCACCTACAAGCAATAAGTCAAAGCCACTGCTGAGTTAGGATATATCCTTAAAATCCTATGAATAATTGAATATTTATTATAAAGCCCATTAGAAAGTGGATGCAATTTCAATATGATATTTTTTGCTACTACTATGAAAAGCGAAGTTTTTAATAAGTAAACGGTAATTTTTAGTCTCCTTTTCAGAGTGTACTCAGTACATTGTACACCTTTGAATCTAAAAAGATTTAAAAATGTGTAACTGAATATATATTTGAACAGAATGTTGAGAGGATTTGCCTTAATATTGCTTTTCTTTAGAACCTTGATATGAAAATTGATTGGAAATAGGTAAACTTGTTGCTAATCTGAACCCTCAAAATTTTCAGTGAAAGTTGGTGAAAGTTTTGCTGTTGTTGTTAGACCCAGCATCTGAGTCCATCTTTGCTGTTCATTCTAACTAACAATTCATCTAAGTCATATTTACAAAAATAAAAGTCTAAAGCATATGAAAAAACCTGAAAGTACAGTTATTGGTTAATCAGCAAAGTTTTCCAACTATACAAAAAGCTTATAACAAGCTGTATCTGGAGGGCAGGAGGGAATTACTACCTTAAAGCTGTTTTCACTTACAATTTAATTGTTGCTAAGTAATGCTTAAAGCCAAACAGACTGTTGATACCCTTAGGTTTTCAACTACAAAACTTTACACCTAATACAGTAATCACCAGAGCTGCATGATATTTTCCAAAAATAAAAGTGCCATTTTATGATATTATTTCAGTATTACTCAGTCATATGAGCATACCTTATCTGGGAATTCATCTGTCTTTATTTGATAGTCTTTGGATAAGGTTATAATTTTTACTTTTAGCATCTGTAAGAAAAGTGTAATAGAGGGCTGGGTCTGTTGTGCCCATCAATGGTAAACTGCAACAGTAAAGTAATTTATTTGTATGACAGCCTTTATAGCATACTTTAAGGGTATAACTATCAGCAGTAGTGCTACTTTACAGTCTCACTTTTTATCTTTTGACTTCCATTACAGGAAAAACTGCTTTTGCAAATACTGTTTGCAATTACATGATTTACTGTCCAAAACATGAAAGAAAGGGGAAATAAGAGGTGATGATGAAACTCTTTGGAGTTAAATCGCTTCATGGCAGGGCAGCCAAGTGTGTGTGTGTGTGTGGTGGTTATGCTCATAGGGGCTAAGAAGGTATTTTGCTCTTAAGCATATGTTAAGTCCATTTCAGTCTCTTTTGTAGAAAGTTTTCTGAAAGGTGTTTAGTACAAATGTACTGAAGAAGTTGGAGACAGTTGTTACCACAAAAAAAACCCCAAACAACCCCAACTAACATGGGTAAAAATATAGACAAATTTATAAATCACCTGTTCACACAGACTTGAAAGTGCTTGCTGTGCTGAAGCCCTCAAAATCTATTCCATAACATAAGAATTCCTGTGTGGCTGCAATACTGCTGACCTGCAAGAAGAATTCTAGTAATTCTTTTCTATATTATGGAATTATATTATATACATTAAGATGTATACAGATCTTCCTAAAGCAAATTTATTGCATTGAGTTTTTTGATATCTAGGTCCTCTTTACTTTTGAACAGTTCTTCATCAGTATTGGAGTCCTTGTCCAAACCTGTCAGAATTTTTAGGCAATTGTTGAAGGTAGAGACAGAAAGACAACTGAGATCCCAGCATGGTCACTCAGCACTGTTTTGTTTTATTGTACTTGTGGTCTTAGAACTGTTTATATTGCTGGTTTTCAGATATTTTAGAAGTCTATTTCAGATATTTCAGATATTTTAGAAGTCTAATTGTAAAAATTATTCCTTAGTCACTATTAGGTGATATCCACATGACATTCTTACATTCTTAAAAGCTTACTTACATGCCATTAATGTACACTCAGCTTTCCTTAGTCAAGCCAAGGAGATATTTGATCTGCACTGTCAGTCAACTGAGTCTTCATGGATCACAGTTTGACTACTATGAGGTAAAATATTAACAGATTTCTCTTGGTAAGAGCAGGTAGAAGATCCTGGAATTCCTGCTTGTGAATTCTTGATAGTGCAGAGCTGCAGCAGAAGCATAACTTGCCAGTTCTCCAAGAGCTGTGAAATCAAAGTAGTGTAACAAATCACAAAGTCCCAACTGGAGGATGGAAATCTGTTGCTTGAGTTCACCTTGCTTCAGTAGTTATGTTTGTTATTTACTTGTGAGTCAATGCAGTCATGTTGCTGGCAGTTTTAAAAGTCATCAGTAGTTCCATGTGACAGCAGTGGAAGCTTCTGGGTCTGGGAGGGTTTTCAGTGTTATTCAGAGAGATGCCAAAGTTGAAAGCTGGGTAATTTCTTACAGAATCTATCCATATTGTTTTAAATGCTGAAATGTTTATTTAGTTGTGTTGTGCTCCGTTTCTGACTTGAATGCCTTTAAGTAAGAAATTATCTCACTTCTTACTTTTGAATACTGATTGATTTGCAAGCCCAAAGATAAAACAAAAGTGCAGTTGCATTTTATGAATTGAACCCAAGTATACTGAATATGTGAATATTTTTAAAAGAGAATTCCAGATACAGATTTAAAAATAACTTGACAGTTTAGGTATCAAAGAGTAACTTTGTTTTTACATGCAACTGTTTTTCCACAGCAGAGTCTAATGGCTGTTTTCATTTTAATGTGACTGAATATATACTTCATTCTTACCACTTATGTCTTCTTAGACTAGACTTGAATATAAACATGTTTTCAGAGATGAAGGATACACATACATTAACTTTCTTTGTATAGCAATGCACGCAACAGTTGAATTGCCCATGCATTTCTTAAGCATCTAAAATTTCATTGATTCAGCATATCTATTTCTTAAATACTTGTACCTGTACTGAGTAATGCAGACTTAGTTGTAAAAGATGCAGGATGAAGCCAGCTCTTTTCTGTGAAGAGTGTAATGTTCTGGTTTTGCAGTTCTCTGCAGATCATTTTTCAGAATGTAGTTATATATTATGCTATAGCCTGGAAAATAAGCTAGAAACAGAAATACAGAAGTTCAGTGTTAACATGTTTTGTCCTCCTATTAATAGTAGTAATGATTTGTCCTCCTATTAATAGTATTAATGATAATAAACATCCAGAATGACAAGAACCAAAATGCAGTAGGTAAGTATCCAGACAGCTACACTGAATTATTTGACTGATTAACTATAAAGATGGTAAATGGTGAGCAGGAAGGGGTATACTTATTTTAAATACTACACTGTTATCATTGGCTGGTGCAATGGCCAAATAAACTACTGGTCAGGTAACTCAGGTTCTGTTTTCAATGAAATTTTCCAGACTCACATAGTGGTCTTTGTATTAGCACTTGTACTCCTCAAATAGAGGAAAATGTTGCAATGCTTGGAACCTGATGGAATCCAGCTCTCCCAATGGGAAGAATGTGTCTTTGGACATAAACTGGTGGGACTGCTTGAGAGGGCTTTAAACTAGAATCAGTGGCAGAAGGGGATACCAACAGGATTGCTGAAGGTAAGCCAAAGGTTGACATGGTATTGCCTGAGGATGGCAATGCTAGTGGGAATATTTACACTGCTTCTGGGAGCATGGGGGGCTCGGGAGCGTATCTTGAATACGTGTACACCAACATTTGCAGTATGAGGAAAAAAACAGGATGAACTGGAAGTGTTGGTCAGCTCCCAGAGCTGATATCATTGGTATTAGAGACTTGGTGGAGTGAGTCCCATCACTGGAGTGCTGGGATGGAAGGCTGAAGGGCAGAGCACCAAGAGTTGTAGTGAATGTGGCTACACCTGGCTGGTGACTGTAACCAGAGGTGTTCAATACATTTATCAATGCTCTGGATGCAGGAGTTGAATGCACCATTGCCAAATCTGCTGATGACACCAACTGGGAGGCACTGTTGACTCTTTTGAGGGACAAGAGGCGTTGCAGAGGGATCTGGATAGGTCAGAGCATTGGGCAGTGATTTATGGGGTGAAATTTAACAAGTTGAAATGCTGGGTTCTGCACTTAGGACAGAGTGACACTGGGCACAGATATAAATGGGGAGAGAAATGGCTGGAGAGCAGTGCTGCAGAAAGGGATCTGGGGGTGCTGGTCAGCAGTAGGCTTGAAAAATGTGAGTCAGCAGTGAGTCCTGGCAGCGCAGAGGGCAAACTTCATCCTGGGGTGCATCCAACATAGCATGACCAGCTGGTCAAGAGAGGTGATGATCCCACTGTATTCAGTGTTGATGCAGCCTCACCTTGAGTGCTGGGAGCAGTTCTCTGCCCCACAATTTAAGAAGGGTATGAAGGTCCTTGAAGGCATCCAGAGGAGGGCAACAAAGCTGGTGGAAAGGCTGTAAGGCATGTCCTGTGAGGAGCAGCAAAGGACTTTGAGCTTGTCTAGTGTGGAGAAAAGGGGGCTGAGGGGCGACATAATTGCTCTCTACAGCTCCCTGAGGAGGGAGAGTGGAGAGGGAGGTGCTGAGCTCTTCTGCCTGGCATCCAGTGAGAAGACATGTAGGAATGCTTCAAAGATTGGACATTGGGAAGCATTTCTTTACTGAGTGGTCAAACATTGGAACAAGCTGTGCTTGAGGGGAGTTCAGTGCCCCAAGCCTGGCAGTGGCATTTGGACAATGCCCTTAACAACATGCTTTAACTTTGTCACCCCTGTTCAGGCACTTGGATTAGATGATCATTGTAGGTCCCTTCCAGCTGAAAGAGTCTAGTCTGTTAGCAGCAGTCTGTGCTCTTTTCTCACCACGTGTTTTTTTGCCATACCAAAGCGCTAGTAAAAGAAGTGCACTTACAGGCAGGCTGTATGAATATACATGTAGAAAGACCGGTATAGACACCGCCACCCACACAACCTGGCTGTGCTCCTCGGCGTGGCCAGCACGTGTTTATCGTGTGTACATGTGTATTATCACATCATCCTCGCCGCCTCGAAGCAGATCTGCCGAGGAGCGGCAGGAGACCGGCTCTCGCACCCACCCCCTTACCGATGTTCGGGGCTCGCTCCGCCGCGGGCGGCCGGCGCGCCGAGAGTTAACCGCGCCCGGTGCTGCGGGCCCCGCCCGGGGCGGGGCGGGGAGGTGCTGTGCCGTACAGTTCCTTCCCGCCCGCCGCTGCTGGAAGGTGGGTCTGCCAGCGCACCCCGCAGCCCGGCCAGGTACACCGAGAGAGAGAGCTGCGGTTCACAGCGGTGGCTCCGCTGCCCCAGGTGAGAGCTCA